TAGCATATCCAGGGAGAGGAACAGATGGAGATTCAAGAACACAATGATATTTTGGTAACAAGCGTCAATGCTTATAAAACATATTAAACAAATATAGAAAAAGGAAGTATTGCATCTCATTTACTTCAAATAATTTCTAAAATTCTAAAAATGGAAAAATATTCATTCCGCTATCTTGTGTGGGAGTACTAACTCAAACAAGTATGATACATGTAGTCCTCAATGTCCATTACAGTTGTAAGTCATCACAGTCACAAAGGGGATCACCCCATGACTGATCTGATTTTACAACCATTTTTGTGGCAGTCATTAAGTGAACACCATGGTAATAAAAAATGACCTCCTGGTGGTAAAACAAACATAGTCATAAAGCAAGTCCATTGTTCAGTATGAGTCATTTTTGCCAAAAACTGCAAAAAGTTCTCGGAAAAAAATGTTTTAAAACATGGTCATGTAAATGCTGGATGCTGCAAACAACTAAATGCAGGACTAATGCCAAGGGTTTAGCATGTGGTCACCTGACTGTTGGGGGGAGCGACCTTTGGAACTTCAGAACCGTGTAATAAGTAGTCCAGGAGAGATTCATCATAACTTCAAATGGTCACTAAGTGACCAATCATAAGTGAAGGACTACCTGTAGGCTTGTATGGGAGCACAGAAACAGTGTGGACTGTTGTGCTATAGTAAACTAGTTATCAGTGAATCTCAAATTTAAGTTCTCTAAGGGCACATTTCTAGACCTTACTGCAGTTAATTCTTTAAAATATGTATGTAATGTTTTGCCAAATTTGGGGGCAATAAAGTTAATCAAATCAAAGTTTTTAGTGGTTTAGGAGTTGAAACTGTCCATACTATAACTAGAAAAATCAAAACCTGTTATGTAAGTTAAAAATTAAAATAAATGTTTATAAAACTGTTAAATGTTTTTATAATGTGGGTTTTGTGCCGCAAAAGTCTGCATTTTATTTTATTTTATTAGCTGTATCTAAAGAATACCGTACTTAGATATAACTTTTGATAATTTAAACTTATCATTTGCTATAAAAATAGTACTTCCTTGCCTTAGGAATTCATGTCTTCCTAAGCCTGGGTCAATGAATTTTCTATCTCAATTTAATTATGCCAATGTTCAGAGTACTAGGAATTTTAAAACTTTTTCAGGATGTGGAATCCAGAACCCCTTGAATAAGAGGCAAAGCTCTATTGTTTAATTGTGTTTAAGTGACATTTTAGATTGTCTTACATTTTCATGTATCCCTGGAGTTCCACATATAGTAAAGTTTGAAAATCCCTTGTTAAGAGTGTCTGAATGGCTTTATATTAAACCATGTAATGCCTTGCTATGTTTTGGCTAAGTATGTCAGTCATTGTAGCTTTTAACATAGTGCAGTATGTGAAGTCAGTAAAATGTGGCTTATTCAATAAACCATAGTTAACATTTTCTTTTATACAGGTGGTCTACTTATGACCACAACTAAACCCAAAATTTCCATTGCTAAGCAAGACAGTTTTTAAGTGAGTTTTGCCCCATTTTACATTTCTTGCCACAGGTGCTAAGTGAATCATTGCAGATGTTAAGTTAGTAACACAGTTGTTAAGTTAATTTGGATTCCCCATGGATCTTGCTTGTCAGAAGGTCGCAAAAGGTGATCACATAACTGAACACTTGTAGTTCCCATTCATTATGACTGTAACTGTCATTGTCCCACAGTTACATGATCATGCTTTACAATAGTTATGCCAAAAACCAGTACTTTCTTCCTGTTTTCAGCAGTACCAACAAACCACTGGTTCACTTAATGGCCATGATGATTCACCTAATACCCACAAAAAAGGTTGTAAATCAAATGGGTCACATGACTGACCTGTTTTACAACCGTTACAACATAAAACGGTAATGGGCAAGTTCGATTACTGTCATATGTTGAGGACTACCTGTATTGATATTACCCCATTTCCCCACAACACCATTCTTGTGAAATAGTTAGGGTTGAGAGAGAGAGAGAGAGTGATTGCCAAACGTCCATCCCCACTGAGCTTCCATGGCTGAGAGTAGACCAGAATCTGAATTTCTTCTTCAACCCAGCATCTTAACCAGTAGCCTTTACTAACTGAGAATTATCATTTACATAATTAGTGAACTGAGCTTCTATGATTACTACCTGCATACCACACAAGTTAAAATGACTTATTGCTTAGATAGGTTCCAATTAGGTGTACTTTATCCATGCCCTTCTCCTGTTTGCTTGGATTATTAAAAATTTCTTCCAGTTCTATTAGATCATAACTGAAGTGGCTTCAAAGTGTTACTGCACGTTCAAAATTGGTACCTCACTGCCCCTCATCTTTCTGCTTTTGTCTCTAATACTGTAATTTTAGTTCCCATTCAAGCTGTTTGTAGAATCTGAATAGCATTTAGTATTAAAAATATATTGTTCATTCATAATTACTCTACCTACACTTTAGCTTCTGTCATTTTTTTTCCTTTAGAGTAAAGGCTGAAATAACAGAGCACAGACTGAGCATTATGGACTCCTCTAAAGCTTTTAAAGTAATGTACATTTTTAGCACATAGAACGTAGTGGGTTTTTTTTAATTCAAAAACAACATTTATTAATACGTGGTTTCTTTGGGGAATATTCACATATCTTTTTCTGGCATATCTAGCCTTCAGATATCTTACTGCTTGAAAGCACCCCATAAATTTTCACATTTTCTTGATACATGAACTTTAGCATTACCAGATCAAAAAGCCAGACAATCTTGTATAATCTTGGCAGTCATCTGGATTTTTGCAGTCTGTAGCTGGTAACTGAAGTGTACCTAAAATTATTTCAAAGTTTAAAATGTTCATTTAAATTTTAATTTAGGGGAAGGACAAAATATACGTCAAGCATTTACTTCTATTTCATTACCTATAAATAAATATTATGGATACAAAAGCCAGTACATTCTCTTTGAAGACAGATCTACAGTCCTCCGTGGAAATCTGATTTGATTCGATCTGTAGCCACCCATTCTCTGGAAGGGTAAAGGGACTAATAATTGAAATTTTTGCTGTCTAAAAATTATTCCTTTTTTATTTTTAATTCCCCGTAACAAAATTTTTATTATAATTATGTGAGGTAAAAAGGAGGTTTTTTTGTGTGAAAAAAAAAAACAGCCTTGAACAGAGAAAAGAGCCTGTGGCATACTGGTTAAGGTACTAGACTAACACAGGTAGACCCAGGTTCAAGCCATCCTCAGCCACAGAAACCTACTTAGGGACTTTGGGCCAGTTATTCTCATTCTAATCCTACATCATAAAAACACTCTTGTCAATAAAATAAGGGGAGGTAAATAAAGTAAAATAAATTGCCTTAAGTTCCTAGAGGAAAGACTAATATAACACTTAACAAATAAGACATTAATTCAACTGTTGCAACTTGGAAATACTAATATCTGTCTGAATTGTTTCAATTTTATCCAGCTCTGAAAAACAAAACTTAACATTTAAAAGATTTTCCCCCATACTTAGAGTGGGGCTATGTAAAGAGCCTTACAACTAAATTTCCATCTCAGAAAGTATCAAAGAGAGTGAGTGATAGTTTGATTACCATAATCTGATAGAAATTGGTGCAAGAAATATATTCCCTACTTTCTAGATTACTTAAGTCTCCACAATTTTCTATATTTTGCACCAAGAGAATGTGACACACACAAAGCTAGACTATATGAGTAAGTGAACTACATCAAATACAGTATGCCTGGAAATATGCTTAGTGGAATTTTCCTGTCACTGTTTTCGTTTTTAGTATAGCATCTGTTTACCATGCCCAGCAATCCTTTGCTCTTGCAGTTTGAATACAACTACCATCTATCAGTTTCCTTAACTGCAACACACACACATACACACGTCTCATCGACAGGACTAAAAGATAGGAGGTCAGGAATACTGCTTACAAAGATTGGGGATCAGGAAAGAAAGATGGGAAGAATGGATAGCCCATTGATTTTGCTTGTCAGAAGGTTGCAAAAGGTAACCATATGGCCCCAGGATACTGCAACCATCATAAATATGATTCAGTTGCCAAGTATCTGAATTTGAATTACATGACCATGGGGTTGCTGCAACAGTCATAAATATGAAAAAATGATCATAAGACACTTTTTTCAATGGCATTGTAACTTCAAATGGTCACTAAATGAATTGTTGTAAATTGAGTACTATCTGTATGGTGTTCCATATGATGGAATCCATATGAATGTTCTGTATATTCTGTAAAGAAACAATGGGAACATGGTATGGGAAATGAGAGAAGTGGAAAATTGGATAAATGTATTGATGGATGTTAGAATGTGTGTGAAAATAATAATGTATATTCATACAGTCTTTGTGTTCACCCTTCACAGTTTTAACATCTATTCAAAAGGCTGCAGACAGAGCAACCTATTACAACTGTCTCTCCATTATTTTTCCTATCAAACCATTATATGAGAAACTCTGAAAAACATTGTTTAAAAATGTATACATATTTTTGGCAAGTAGTATGTTACTCTGCCTTTCCATCATTCATTATTTCATTCAGTAGAATTTATATGCCATTCCAATCGAGGAGGTCTCCTAGCAGCTTACATTTATTTCTTAGAGTAATAGAATTAAAATTAGTCTCCTCTCCATCCCATTTCACATTAACTTTAAAATAACCTTCATCATGCATTCTAGTTTTGGATTTATGCCAAGTAACAACACAGCCCTGGCTCCATATTCATTTTGAAATCAATCAACATTAAATATGTAGCACTGATTTATGTATGAATTCTCATTCTTCGATAAAATATAGATTTTTTTTTCTGTATTGCATTCCAAGTTGTATTATTTTTAAATATGGAGGTTTTTAATGTGTTCCTTTTTTCTAAACCATTGCCACTGCGTTGCTAATAAGAATAATAATGTTCTATGAACTGGAGACTTGTCAAAGTACATCATCAAGCACTTTGTTTATTTTTCCTAATTTCAGGGAATGGAGAGAGGACACAAAAATGATATTTCTCCTTTCAGCAGTTTCATTTCAACTATCAGCCAAAAGAAAGAAGATTCTGTAAATGAAAATTCACCTGAACAATTAGTTATTACTGATATAAAAAATGGTGAGAAAATAAAAGATTTAATTTTTAGTCATTTCTAGCTGAAGGGGGTACTTGGTATTTGAAGATGTTCTTTTTATTTGTTTTCTGACAATGCTTTCAGTACTTTTTGTAGAACTCTCTTTATGTGAAGTATTAACATGACACATCACAGTAAGAAACAACCTTCTAGTAAGTACAGTTATAATAGCTCAGTAGGGATTGTAGGATGCAGTAACTGGAATGAATTTTAACACAGATGGTATTCAGTTTGCATATGTAAGTTAATGAATAGTAATAATAGTAACCTGCCAACTGCTTAATTATGTTTTCAAACAGTATTTGTTCTTCCAAAGATTTTATAAAACTTTGATTGCAAAAAAGATTTCATAATTGTTAGTATGTTTAGGAAAGTCTTTTTAAAATTACATATAAGAATAACTGGAGTTGAATCTGTCTTTATAAACAGAAGAATTATGAATGAATAAGCAAACATGAGAATATGCCAAATGTTGAACTTTGTAGTATTTTATTTTATAGCCCATTTACAAAGTGGTTTCTGATTCTTATCCTTCACATACCCTCATTTAAAGGATTTAACATTTATTAAATAGGAACTTTAGCTGCACAGGCTAAATATGTGAAACAAAATGTAATAATCAAAGCAAATATGAAAGAGCAGAGTTGCATCATGACATTATGAAACATGTTTCATCCATATGGATGCCTATGTTTAACTGCAGAATAGTAATGATCTGAATTATATATTTGAATATAGAATTCAAATATTAAATATTTGGGCATTCCTATACATACATACAGGGACGCGGTGGCTCAGTGGCTAAGACGCTGAGCTTGTTTATCGAAAGGTTGGCAGTTCAGCAGTTTGAATCCCTAGTGTCGCGTAATGGGGTGAGCTCCCATTACTTGTCCCAGCTTCTGCCAAACTAGCAGTTCGAAAGCACTTAAAAAATGCAAGTAGAAAAAATAAGGGCCACCTTTGGTGGGAATGCCAAAGGCGTTCCATGCCCCTTTGGCATTTAGTCATGCCGGCCATATGACCACGGAGACATCTTTGGACAGCGCTGGCTCTTTGGCTTTGAAATGGAGATGAGCATTGCTCCCTAGAGTTGCACATATGTGCGAGGGGAATGACTAGCACATATGTGCGAGGGGAACCTTTACTTTTACCTTTATACATACTCCATAGACACATCCAAATTGCCTCTGTCAAGACCACATACTTATAATAAAATGAATTATCTCGAAATCTCTTGAGGAATGTAGGAGAAAAAGGAGTCTTAAAGTTTACTACAAATTACAAGTAATTTAAATATAATATATGAACTTATCACAAAGTTAAGAGCTGGAATTAAACGTACATTTTTCCTATTTGTAAAGAGAATTAGAAAAAATGACAGTTGAGTTTTCACTACCTAAAATCTGCTTGTTAAAGATAGCTGTCCTCCAATCATCTTGTATTTTACCAGTTTTCCAAGTACATTAGCTGTTTTGGCAGTAATGTATAGAAATCAAATCATCAGAGTTAGCAGCTACAGGTAGTCCTCGATTTATGAATTTATAACATTCAAAGTTACGATGTCCTTGGAAAAAGTGACTTATGGCATGTACTCACATTTATGGCCATCTCATCATCTCCATGATTATAATACAGGCATCTGGCAACTTACTTACATGTATGACCTGTTGTAGCATCCTATGGTGATGTGATTGTTATTTTTCGGCCTTTTATGTTGATTTCAGGAAAAGAATGCACACTGGGGAATCTGGATTTGCTTAACAACATAAAATTAGGTTCAACTCAAATTATAACCACCACATGTTATGACAGAAATTCCTGTCCATTATAGCTGTGAATCAAAGATTATCTGTACAGACTCTATTTTGCTATAATGGGTATATTGTATATATACGAATATTTTTTTCCCCACCTCCTTCTTAACCCATCTCCAACTTTTTGCAGTCTTTCAGTTAACATTACAAAGGACTTTAGAAATCCAGAGCCATACTTTGAGACCTTACAACTGATAAGCGCTGAAAATTTAGTAACTAGCTTAGAGAAGAATATGTGATTGATCCCAGTCTAGCACTTGCCCTCTTGTAATATCATTTTCTGGAATTATTGGAGCTAATAATGCTTTTAACAATGAAATCGTATATTTAAAATGCGGTTCTATGGTTTGCTCATTGTTGGGTGTCACAGGTGGAAATGTGCACCTCACTACGCTACGGATGCTTCTGGATTGAAAGGATTAACTAGCTATAAACTGCTGTCTAGTAGGTGCCAGAATGTGGTAACAGCACACATTTTTCAGAGAAGCTCCTTTCATGAGGACTATAGGATTATATTTTAAATGTTACGTCATGTCATATGCCTTATTTTAATTGTGATGTTTTTGACATGAATAAACAAACAAACATTCTTGAGTGTTAGTAAGAAATTTCACTCATTTCATTTTTATGTCGAAAATGTATTATTTCCAGTATGGAATTCTGCAGTATGGAATTCTGCAGTTATATTGAAATACAGTTTGATCATTGTATTCACATATTTGTTAGTTGAGCAACCTATCTTTATGTGATCATTAAATCAGATTTGGCATTCATTTGCAACTCTTGTATCTCTCTTGAGCTATTTCCTAGAGCATTTTGTTTTATAATGTTTAGAATCTGAAGTGTGTATTCCATATGATACCTGAATTTGAAGAACTTTTAGTTTTATTCCTTGAAAACATGACATAATCAAAACTGGGTTCAGCTTGATCTCAAATTCTACAGAAATTAAATTTTCCTGACTTTGAATTCTATAAGGAATTGTGACTACTTTAAAACTGGGGGAAGTCGCATATTATTGCTCTCTTCTAGTTCTTATTTACATATAAATAGTTCAATTAGATCTCCAGACAACTGAACTCTAAATCATATTGTCTTCTTTATGTAAGAGGTTAACCTTTCTGCAATGCCAATAAAAATTATTAGAACATTTATAAGATCATTTGTGAATATACCAGTACTATTTTAATTAAATTGTATTATTCTTATAATGGCTTTTTAACTGAGAATATATGTTTATGTGAACTGTTTATTATGTAAAGATGCTGGTTTTCTTCCCCAGCAGAGTTCTAAACCCATTTCAAGGAAGTCCTGGAATGAAAAAGAATTATGAGGCAGCTTAGAGGCTAGGATTAGAAGCAACATCCTCTCTTAAGTATGTTTCCAGGATCAGAAGGTTATAAATTTTATAACCTTTTTTCTGCCATTGTTTCTTCAAATTCAATATGGGTGCAGAAAAAATATGTTTTATGACTTGTAGAAATATGTGGTTATTTCCTGTCAGAATCTAATTTTGAAGTCTTAAATAAGAATTCCAACTTAAAATAAATATTTATTCTAATAATATTTAGTCAAGGTTGCACTATTTTGGGTAGCTGCTTTCATGTGCTATTTACCTGAATATTGTAATACTGATTTCTTTTTTTCATTTTTCTCTTTTATTTTTAAATTAGCAAAAGAACAGTCCCTTGGCCTTGGTGTTAGGCAAAAGAAGCGTACCTCAGTGGATATACTTCCAGTAGAAATGAAAGTTTCAATCCCACTGGAACCTTCCTGTCTCACCCAAACAAAAACTATGAAAGAGTTTTGGTAAGCAGTGTTGCTACATATTTGATATACGACTAAGTTCAATTTATCAGTGTATGGTCTACTTAAGGTAATTATTGTTATTATTACTTGGTGAGGACTTTATGAGTAATAGACCAATTATCACAGAAATTACTGTAATTTATTTTCACTTTAAAAATATTACATAAAATTTCTGACTAAACCAGTGCTTACTTTTTCACCTAGGCCTAGAGGGTTTTTCAAAATACTGTACATATTCATACAGGCTTGTGCTGAAGAAAAGTGTTGGAAAGTCATTTTTTTCTCAAGGATAAACATATCTAGTTCCCTTAATTTCTTCTCATGAGACATAGTTTCATCTTATTCTTCTTAACTTCTGCATCTGTTTTGTTTCCTCTGAATCTTTTATAAAAACGAATGCTCAGAAACTCAAAATAAGGATTCACCAATACAGAATGCTGTATAGTAGAACTATTTATTTATGTGTATCCTGCCTTTATTAGTTTTACAAATAACTCAAGGCAACAAATATACTAAATACACTTTTCTCCTCCTAGTTTCCTCAAAACGAGAAAGAGATTAGCCCAAAGTCACCCAGCTGGTTTTCATGGCTGCTGCAGGACCAGAAATCACGTTTTCCCGCTTTCTAGCCGAGTGCCTTAACCACTAGACCAGATTGGCTTTCTGTTGCAAGCTAAACTTCTGTTGATACAATCAAAATTGCATCTGCCTTTTAGCAATCATTTTGGGCTGCTAACTCATATCAGCAGGGTGATCATCTATTGTTCCCATGTGGATACCTGGAGTAGTATCTTCACAGTTATTTAATCTCATCCTTACAAGATAGTAAGCTTCATAAACCAGTTAATCTTACCAAACAGTCATTTTTTTTTTTTATCAACACAGTAGGAAAACATCAACCATTATTTCTCTCCACTTTGTCCTTTGCAGATAACAGTTGTATCCATTCTGTTGTTCAGGGCTTTTGCAGTTGCTGAAAGTGCTGCTGTTCATACTAGTCGCTTATTCCTTTTCTGGAAACTTGCAGTCTTCTGCAAAGGTCTAAACACTATTATGGAGGCTATTATGGGCTGAAGAATATGTATTTACATATCTTGTTTCTGGTCCACTGTTGTTAAAAAAAACCATTTCTGTCATTGAAATCCACTGGGTCTGCTCCTTTCTTTGATTCTCTTATGAAGAGTGGCTTTCTCTGACAGCTTCAGTTGCAGAGCTTCATTTGTTTGACTTGAAAATCTATTCTCTATCTGTTATAGTCCTTTTCAATTAAGAACCACAAAAGCTTACATTTGCTACAAATCTATGCTAGATTTTTAGGCAGCTGCAAAAATACATCATAGGTATTGTACTCATAATAACTTCCTGGTCATGTCCATTTATCTTCATCTTTACTTCTTATCCTTAGAAAGGTTTTTTATTTCTTTTTGTCCCCATCTCAAGGTCTCAGATTAGCCAAGAGTTCACTATCATTTTACAGGAAAAGTTTCCCAGATTCTTGAACTCCATTGACAAACTATTTTTCATTTTTGCTCAATGAACTTATCTTTCTGCAATATTTGCTGCAGCCTGTACTTACCAAGAAGCAATAATTCACAATAAGCAATGTGCAGTTTTCTGGCTATGCATCTTGTAGGAAAAGTGCTGATCATGATCCTTCAAATCCATACTCAGATTCTGTTTGCTCATCTGTTTGCTTATCAGTTGATGATAAACTAATCAACTTCTGGTTTTTGTTCCTGGTCATTTGTTTTTGAGCAAATTATTTGGAAAGTATTTTATGTTATTCAGCATTAATCAAAAATAGATAGAGATCTTTGTTTTTATTAATGTTATATAAACATAATGTTTGTTATCATTTTAATATATATATATAGAACAGAAATTCAATAAGATTATTTTATAACATGTTGCATTTTGGACTTTCTTAGGGATGACATAGAAAAAGCTAAGTTAACAGGAGACTGGAAGGAAATCTATGACTTTTATTTAAAAACATTTGATTCTTTTTCAGAAGTTAACACTACATTTAAGGTAAAAACAGCAATGTTTTCACTGCTTTTTCTTTTCTTTTCCAGTTTGTGACTTAAAAACAGTAATTAGCAATAGTGTAAAATATAGGTTACCAGTAATAATATTACGTAATTAAAACCAAATAAACTAAAATAGATGATGGATAGATTAAAGGAAAAAATGTGTTTTTTAAAGAAACCAATACCATAAAATGCATTATTTTTATATTGTTTCAAAGTCGTTTTCTCAATTGAAGCTTTGTGTTTTTGGAAATGTATATTTTGTAAATATTATGAAAACTACAACTGTATCTGTAAATAAATAAAAACCAGAAAGTATGAACTCCAAAAAGAAAAAACATAGATGGAGTATATTCAGAATACAAGTTGAAAGATTAGCATTTTCAGAGCCACAATATACATCTATTCAGGAGGCAAGAATCTTAACCTTGCCACTGTCCCCCACCATATTTCCAAATGATTACACTGAAGGAGTTAGTGGAAGACTTGGGAGACTTCCTGCTTAAAGAATAGGTAGAAATTTTGACTGGCGGGACGTTACCCTGAACTGGTGAACTTCAGAAACTTTAGTTTCTGAAGTGCACCAGTTGCAGTCCTATCTGGACCGTACACATCTCAGTATCTTACACGTCATGTGAGACTATTGCAACATGCTTTATATGTAGAGCTGTCTTTAGAGACAACCCTGAATTTTGTACAGTTGGTACAAAATGCAGAATGTAGCACTGACTGTTCAGTTCCACCATGGCAATTGACATCCATTTTGAGATTGCTGTAGATTTCCAGGCAAAATTCAACGTGCTGGTCATTACACTTAAAGCCTTACATGGCCTAGCACTAGATTATATCAGGCAACCCTTACCAGAATGGGATCTGCCTCCCCAAAATGATGATTAAAAAAAAGTCCACTAGAATCCCCTCTATCATCTGAGGTATGTGATATGGACAAAATGGCAGGAGTTCTTGGTTGTTACCGCCAATATAGGATAACCATTCTTCCCAGAAACACACATAACTCCCGTTCTTCAGTCTTTTCACAAACACAGCAATTTTATTTCATTGTACTTTTGGCCATAGCTGAATTGAGGGCTATGATGCTGATGTTCATTTGTTTTTTCAATGTAAACTTTATTATATTAGTTTTTAAGTATATTGTCTCATTGTTTGCTGCCCAAAATTCCATTAAGTGAATAAAAACATTTAATTATAACGTTTTTAAAAATAAATAATACTATTCCAAAAATTATAGTTGTAACACAAATTGAAAATACATTAGAGAAAATTATCTCATGTTTATTATTTCAATTTGCAGAAATATACTGAAACTCCTTTTAATTCCATTGAAGATTGTGGAATTGATGCTAAATATGTGAATGCAGTTTATGATACCTTACTTCAAGCTGTAAGTCAACTACTATTTGCTTTCTGCTTTGTAATCTTGTGCAGAATACTATAATATCTTTATATTACAGTTCAATTTTTTTGAGTTATTATTTTAGATATTGGGTAGCTTCTGAGTTTATACAGTTGTTGTAAGTGTCAATATTTCTAAAGTACACTTTAATAATTATCAGGATTTATAATCTCTTTGAGTTTGCCTCATTTGTTTTTAAATTATAACTGAAAAGATGGTGTAAACCTCAGAGGGTTCTTTTAAATGATTATTAAATATAAACTAAGGTATACAGATAATGTCCCCACTTGGTCTAAAATATCTTTTTGCCTTTGAAATAATCACTGCAGAACACTATAAACAATAAATGCTAATTTTATTTTTATATATTATAATGTAATGTTATTTTCAAAAATAAATTATTTAACTTAGTTGCATAATTTAATCTGTCCACATAAACCTGAACTGAACCATGAAATAAGTTTACATGAGAAAGATAATGACAATATGAATTTGAACATATATTCGTTTTAAACAGAGAACAAATCTAAATAAGTTTCCAATAACAACTGTACAGCATTGTATCATGGCTAACATATCTAAATAATATTTTCAAACTGAAATGTTTCTGAATTTTAATTAATTTCCACATCACAAAATTGTTATAGATACTACTGGTCTTTAGTTGCAGACTATTTATCTGTACGCGGTGGCTCAGTGGCTAAGGCGCTGAGCTTGTCAATCAAAAGGTTGGCAGTTCAGTGGTTCGAATCCCTAGTGCCACGTAATGGGGTGAGCTCCCGTTACCTGTCCCAGCTTCTGCCAATCTAGCAATTCAAAAGCACATAAAAAATGCAACTAGAAAAATAGGGACCATCTTTGGTGGGAAGGTAACAGTGTTCCGTGCGCCTTTGGCATTTAGTCATGCCGGCCACATGACCACGGAGACGTCTTTGACAGCGCTGGCTCTTCGGCTTTGAAACAGAGATGAGCACCTAGAGTCGGGAACAACTAGCACATATGTGTGAGGGGAACTTTTACCTTTACTTTTTATTTATCTGTAAGGGCTGGAAGAAATATTGTTTGCTTTTGGGTCTGTGAAATTCTGCATAAATGGACAGAGATACAGATGATTCACTTGAAACTGAGACAAAATAATTTCTGTAAAAAATGCATGGGAAAATGAAAGATTATCATCTCTTGGAAGTGGTTGGTAGGAATTATATGTTTTATATAATTATTTTAAAAAGAACTGTACATACTGATTCACAATGCTTTATGAATTCTCTCCCTCTTTCAGCTTCTTTCCAAATACTCACCTGACCAGAACCTGATCTATGTTGCATGGTCAGCAGTTCATTTCTAAAAAGGAGATGCAAAATAGAGAAGAGAAAAATACTATGTTGATATAAAATATGAATGAAAAGACCTAATTTTTGTGAAGTTTAATATTCATAGCAACATAGGGTATATAAAAATGTAGAAAGATAATAATTACTTTGGGAGGAAGATGCTAAAGTGATCAACAAATGCATTGTTGAGTTACAGCAATTTATCTACCTACATTAGAATGGAGAAATTTTAAGTAGTCGCTGCCATCCAGCTTCAAAAGTAGATACTATTAGAATCAGGGGTGGGTTCTACTTACCTTTACTACCGGTTTGCATCGTGCCCACGTGTGCGTGCTCCAATGGGAGGTTGCCCCCGGTTCTGACCGGTTCTATAGAACTGGTAGTAAAACCAGCGGGAGGCTCTGCCCACTGACCCTGATATCATCAGAAGCAATCTGCGCAGAAGCAAGGCGCGCGAGCAAAATGAGCGCACACGCAGATCCCATTGCAAACCAGTAGTAAAGGTAAGTAGAACCCACCCCTGGCGCGCTCGCTTCGCTCACATACGTGCACTCTTCTGCACATGCGCAGATCACTTATAATGACGTCCGGGTCAGTGGGCAGAGCCTCCCGCCGGTTTTACTACCAGTTCTTGCGAACTGGTCCGAACTGGGAGCAACCCACTACTGAATAGAATGCAACATTTGAAATTATTCTCTTGGGATATTACATACTTTAGTGATTTATAAATATGAGGAACATTTAAAAGTAAAATTCCACTAACAATTGTTTACTCCTTAAGAGCGTGTAGAAAGCTATGATTATTTTTAAATTGTAATATTTAATAGCTCAGTAAGTACAATTCAGAGAAATAGGTATGACTAAAGTCCTATTCATCTATACCATGGAACAAAGTATGTGCAGAGGTTGTGCTTCCCATTGCTCACAGTCCATTAATTTAAATGTCATTTAGTCTTACATGCTCTAGCTTTGCCACCAAAAATATAAACAGTCTGAAAAAAGATCTGTAAATTCCAAAAAGATAAATTACTCTTTCTCCATCAGAGAAAAACACACCTTTTCCTTTAGTCATAACTTTCAGTATTATGATTTAGTACAGGGGTGTCAAACTCAAGGCTCATGGCTCGCAGGGTGCTTAGATCTGGCCCGCAGGCCCTGGAAACAGTGAAGGACCACCCTGCGGTGCCTCTGTCAGCAAAAACAGTGCTTGGGAGGGTGCCCCCACCCCCATGCCCCCAAGGTCAAACATAACCCTGATGCGGCCCTCAATAAAATTGAGTTTGACACCCCTGATTTAGTATGTTATTGGCTATTCTGTAATTAAGTAATACCATAATGAAATTGGTGTCTTACAATGAAATATTTTTCCTAAAATAAACCTAGAAATGGAAAATAGATATTTTGTAAAGTTTTAGACATAAAGGGATTTTTCCATTACAATAAAAACTTATCTTTTAAAAACTGGAATCTATCATCCAGCCAGCCATCCAGTGGTGGGTTTCAAAAATTTTTACTACCGGTTCTGTGGGCATGGCTTGGTGGGCATGGCTTGGTGGGTGTGGCAGGGGAAGGATACTGTAAAATCTCCATTCCCACCCCACTCCAGGGGAAGGATATTGTAAAATCTCCATTCCCTTCCCAATCCAGGGGGAGGATACTGCAGAATCCCCATTTGCTCCTGATCATCTGGGACTTGGGAGGCAGAGAATAAATGGGGCGGGGCCAGTCAGAATTTTTATTACCGGTTCTCTGAACTACTCAAAATTTCCGCTACAGGTTTTCCAAAACTGTCAGAACCTGCTGAAACCCACCTCTCCATCCATCCATCCATCCATCTACCTACCTATCATCTTTTTTATACATAATATGTGTATGTATATATGTGTGTGTGTGTATTATCATCAGTCTCAGAAGTAACATTTGAAAATGGTCATAACTATTTAAACAATTATATGAACATATAGAAATCTCTTACTGCCAATAGAAAGTGGTAAAAATTGCTTTTTCCTATGCTATGATAGATTCCAGAAAATTGATTGCCCCACTATATAAAAGCAAAAATCAGTTTATATCTCTATAAAGAAAGGAAAAGACACAAGGGGGGGGAACGAATTCAGTGAGTTTGAAATAGAAAAATTGAACTTAGAAAAAAGGTCACCAATCGGTAATTTTGAAAAAAAGTTACATTTTGAGATTCTTTCTGCATTTCAGAATTATGCTTTAAAAATCTATTGCATTTTATGTAAATGTTTTTAAATTCTCATTTTTACAATTGTGATCTGACCACTTCATAATAATAATTGTTTCAACTGTGCTACTGATAAAAATCTATTTGGGTTGTTATTTCACTCCTTTTTTATTTGTTCTAGCCTCAAGATATCCAGAAGTGTGTCCTAAAAGGAATAATTAATGGTTTATTGCATGAATGGAAAGGGTAAATACAACTAACTTTTATATATGTCTATAACATATGACATTTCAATTTCCACAGAATTTGAATTTTAAATACATAACCTATTAGACATCAGAGCCAATGGTTAAGGTGCTGACCTAAAAACCAGGAAAATGTGAGTTCTACACAATCCCGCTTTAGGCATGAAAGCCTTCTAGGTGACTGGGCCAGCCTCAGTAAAACTCACCTCACGGGTTGTTGTGGGAACAAGAAGAGGAAGAAGTGACTTGAATCGAGTACTTACATTGTTGATCTTACAATTTTTGCAATAAGTCTATTAACAGATATCAATATTAGGCCTCTGTACAAAATTGTGACATATTTCTATTCTCTGCATTTCACAATTTACAAGCTTATTAATATATAATTTTTAACATGTGAGTTTGATAAATAAAAACTCAGATGAACAAATGTAAAACATTTTCTCTTTCTGATGAAAAATCTCATTCCAAAGTGTTACATATAACGGGATAATTTTGTCACATAATCGGAAATTATTAATGTCTATGTGATATGCCTTTATATTTACTTAAATTATTTTATTTATTTATTTATTTATTTATTTTGTCGAGTACGTATTAGATAATATATATACGTATAAGCATGAATTGAATACATAAAATGAATACAATTAAAGGGAACATTACGACAGGGATAGTAGGCACGCTGGTGTTCTTATGCACGCCCCTTACAGACCTCTTAGGAATGGGGTGAGGTCAACAGTAGCCAGTCTAAAGTTAAAATTGTGGGGATTTGGGGAAGAAACCACAGAGTCAGGTAGTGTATTCCAGGCATTGACCACTCTGTTGCTGAAGTCATATTTTCTGCATTCGAGTTTGGAGCGGTTTACCTTGAGTTTGTATCTATTGCGTGCATTAAGTAACTACATCATTTATGCACAGTCTAGCTAGAATAAAATAGCTGTAATTCCACTTAAATACAGTTGAGCATGCATTCACACACTTAGATTGTGCCTTTCATTTTTCACTTATTCATGTTCTTTCAGGCCACAAACAAAAGATGATATCAGAGCATATTTTGTTCTTCTACAGGTAAGAAGGGGAAAAAAGGTCTTTGTATGCCATCTTCTGTTGCAAGTTATGTTAATTTACCTAGCACTCATTATGCCAGTCCTTGTCAAGCACAGGGAAATCAGGAGATTCAGGCAGTTCAAATGAATAAAAAGATTTATTGCAAACTTAAGGTCCCCTACAAGAATCTGAGCTACTAACGGTCGGGAAATTAGTGGGAAGTAGGAAAAGAAAGGAATTCAAGGTGGGCTGGACTTAGATCTCTTGTGGGCGCACAGGGACTCATGGTTGATGATGCGTTTGACCCCTGCCTTAGGCTCAGCCTGGTCATCTCCTACAGTCCTGCCCTTTGCATCTTTACCATGCTTATGTCCAAAGAGAATTCTAACAATAATGAGCATCAAATACAAGAAAAGATTAGTCTCACTATTTGAAACATCCTAGTACATGTATTCACATTTATTTGTGTATGATAATTTATGATTGCAGTTAGCACTTCAATATATCTTCCGGAGTGAAATTTATTGAGGGGAGCTTTTATCTTGACTGGATTTTGTTCAGGTTCAAAACAAACTGTCTGGTACTGCTGTGTTTAAAAGGTTATTGCTGTGCTAATTCACTTTTGAAATTAGTGAACTGATTTAATGTATGCTTTTATCTCAGTGATATAATTAGAACAGGGATAGCATCATCTTATTATGTTTCTAGCTTAATTCCATCGTAACTCAACAACACTGTTGGGTAAGGTTGCTTGTATAGCAATTAATCACTGACAGAATCATACAATACTCCATCTATTTTCAATGCAAAGGAAAAGACAGCCTTTTAACTTCTAGGGGTGTTGTATGGTTACTTCAGTAAATTGAACTCGTTAATGAAGTCACCAGGAGTCAGAGGAAATGTTACTTTTTAAGAGAAAAATAATCATAAAACAATCCATGTGTTGCTCCATAATGAGAAAAATCCACAGTTGGGTTATACTTTATCAGAACCAATCAAAATAACTTAAACTTATTCCAGTAATATTATTATAATTTGGAGACAGTTTATTTTGTTTTTTTTACAATATACTAATGAAGTGTTTTTAATCTTTTTCAGAATCCTCTGTTTAGTAACACAACAACATATGTTATTTTTGCTCACTTGCTAAGACAGATTGCTGCCTTACCCGAAGATAATCATCACTACCTAATTCACTGGTTTAAGAAGTAAGGCTATTTTCTGTTGTTTAAAATTATGGATTTTATATTTTCAGTTATTATAAGTGGTTATTATTTATGTATGGTAGTCAAAATACCCTGAAGTACTCACAATTATTGAAGAAAATCTTGCTAAGATTTATAAACTCCATGAATTATGTTTTTTATCAATTAAACTTTATTCATTATTACAACAAAAACTGTCCCGAATGAGCTTGACTTTCTCAAAGTACTGGACAAGGAAATTCTGTGCCTAAACCAAAATGTGAACTGATTTCAATGACATGCATTCACCAATTTATAGTAGTTATGTAGTTACAACTACATGCTGAATTGGCAACAATAGGTTAGAAAAAGTAACTTATCTTTCATAGAAAGGGTTAATAATTCTGCTGAATAAATTTTCTCTAGAATATTTATATTCCTCATGAATGTTTCATAGAAACATTTTGTGGACTGTTATTAAGAAGTAAGGACTAAGAATTCTATTAGCACTCCTGCTATTATAAAAACAATATTAATATATTTTATAGGATGTCACAGAAGCGAATCAAGCATATTATAGAGAGAATCATACAATTTATTTCTTTGCGGCTGTTTCCGGCAAAACCTGAAGATTTGCCTCCTATGGAGAAGTGTACCTGGTGGATTCCATCAGCAACCAAAGTTTTGTCTTTATTTAGTAAGTTTGTTTAGATGCAGTTAATATTTTCTGAATTCTCATAGCTATAACGCATTAAATCATCACAAATTATGTCAGTATAAAATTAGTCTTTTCTCTTTAAACTAACATATTACATAATAGCAGAAAACATTTCAACAGAACATGTATGTATAGTGTTTATATGGTACAGTATTTTATAATTATTTTTAGCCACTTTTAAGAGATTATAATAGTAGTAATATTTCTAATGGCTTGGAGGATTTGTGATTACAGCTGTTATAAAGAATGCCATTGTAAATTAATATATTATAGCAATGATCCTGTTTCAGTTATCTAAGAATATAAAAGTGAGACTGTTAATTAAAAAAAGAATGCTGCAGTAGTTCATCTTTACTAACATATTAAAAGGATCAAAATTACATGTAGTGGTCCTCGACTTACAACCATTTGTTTAGTGACTGTTTGAAGTTACAACATTGCAACATCCCCATGATCAAAATTCAGGTGCTTGGCAATTACAATATATTTATAACAGTTGCAGTGTCCCAAGGTCATGGCATCACTATTTGTAACCTTCTCATCTGGCTTCCAACAAACAAAGTCAGTGTGGGAAATGCTTAACAGCTGTGGCAAAAAAAGGTCATAAAATGAGGCCACCTCTCCTAACAACTGACTTGCTTAGCAACAGAAATTTTGGGCTCAGTTGTGATTGTAAATCGAGGACTACCTGTATGTTACCACCAAAAACTATGTAAAGTTTTCTGGTTCCACTCATACTTTTAAAAGTCTAAACTTATCCCTTCTATTAGAAAATATTGTTGCATCAAAGAATATTATTGGGTTTTTTTAACAAGTCTTAATTTCATTGTTTTAAACAAGGTTGCCAAACATTATTACTAATAACTAAATTATGTCATTTCAGATGCTTCAAATAGTCTAACTAATCCTTCTCTTATTTCATATACGGATTTTTATAATTCTACGCTAGATCATATTGATCTTATGGAAGATTATCATAACTGGCAGTGTTATGGAAATTCTCATAGGTAAGGGATTATTTATTTTAAAAATAAAGGTTTAATAGTAATTTTTATTTATAAAATAACTATTTTACAATACTTGATTAGTGATACACAGGTTATCAGCCTGCACCAGATTATAATTTTCTTACAATTTTTCGTTAGCTTTTGGTTCGCAACAAATTCATTTTTGAGAGCTAAAATGTGCTTTTTTTCCAAAGTAAATTGCATATCCATTCACAACAAAACTGTAAATGTTTTTTCAGTATTCAGAATCAGTTTATTTTTAGTATTTGGAACAATCTGAACAATTTTGAAATACAAATGATAAAGGACTTTTTTTCAAAACAACTTTCCAAGAAACTTAGCATAAAAGCAATATAGCCTTTTTTGACATTTCATATTGTAATCTTTTTGTGTGTAGTTCTCTAAACATTGAAAGGAGAGAATTAAATGTTAACAATAATTTAATGTACTTAAAACTTTAAAATGCTCTGTGGAATGTAAAAAGTATTTCAATTTTTGACTAGAGGTTAGTTGAAGATCAAATATCCAGGATCATTTTTGTGTGTCATTTATAGCTGTTATAGCTGCCTGTAATGCTATTAAGGCTGACTTATTCTCTATATGGTGTTCTGTCAATAGCCCCTTCAGTGCTCTTTATTAGTCATATCAAGTTATTCTTTAGGCTCTAGATTTTCTCTATCTAATTAGCTTAATATGGCCTGGAATACATCATTTATATTTTTCAATGACCATAATTCTGAAACATCAGTCTGATACACATGGAAGGTATTATGCTGGATAAACATTGGTTTCTCCAATAATTCTGTTTCATTTCAACTGTCCAGAATATCAATATTTATTTAAGGAAGATTCTCGTTTTTGACATTTTCAGTGGCTTTTCAATAGGGTACAAGTCAGTTGCCTCTAACTACCGTGTTTTCCCGAAAATAAGACAGGGTCTTATTTTCTTTTGAACCCAAAATAAGGGCTTGGCCTTATTATCACGGGTCTTATTATTTTGGGGGTGCTCATGGTTGCTTCTGTGTTGTGCTGCTGCTCGTCAGCTGTTCGCACAAGGCCGTGCCCGCGTCCTCATGTCCCTATGCCCAGCTCTTCGGGAGCCCGCTCGCAAGAGAGCAGCCGCCCAGCACCTCTTGCCACTTGGTGCCCACCCAGCGGACACACACACCCTCTGCCCAGGCAGAGCGCCACTCACCAACCAAGCGGTATTCCAGAATCACGATGTGGGCGAAGCTAGTGAGCACCAGGTCCTTGAGGAGTCCGCGCCGCTGCCATCCATGCGATTTCCAAACCCTGGCTGGAAGCGGAGAAGAGGCCGGTCGGGCCAGCCACCTGCTGCTGAGTCTGGGAGCCGGGGCAGGTGCATGGACCTGGAACTATAGAAAGGGAATGGTTCCAGGTCCATGTGGCTGCCCTGGCTCCCGGAAGACTCGGCAGCAGGCGGCTGGCCCAACCGGCCTCTTCGCTTCCAGTGGCTTCCATCTGGGATTTGGAAGCTGCAGAGGAAGCCAGCCTCAGTGCTGGGATGGTGGCGGCTCAGACTCCTCAAGGACCTGGTGCTCACCGGCTTCGCCCACATCGTGATCCTGAGATACCGCTCAGTTGGTGAGTGGCACTCTGCCTGGCCGGAGGGGAGATCCCACTCAGTCGATGAGTGGCACTCTGCCTGGTGCCTGGGTGGGCACCAAATGGCAAGATGTACCGGGCAGCTGCTATCTTCCGAGCGGGGCGGGTGTTTTCAGGCGAGGGGGATGGATGGATGGGAGGCGGGTGAGCGAGCGAGTGGCAAGAACGCTGGGACAGTTCCCGATCAGCTCAGCTGATCTGCGGGTTGCCATTAAGGAACCCAGCTGCCATTAGCTGACCGGGGAAGGTTCTGTGCTGCCCATGCCCAACCCTTCACTAGGGCTTATTTTCAGGGGAGAGCGTATATTTACGCCCACCCCAAAAATCAGGCTTGGCCTTATTTTCAGGGGAAACACGGTTGTGTGATTTCAAGTTTCCAAAGTGCAAATGAAAATAAACAGAGACGAAACAGACAGAGAAATAAGCTGTAGAGGAATAGGAATAGGAATAAAAAGATTTCCTATGAAAATGAAATGAAAGACTACATTACTTAGTGAATACAGCATTGGAAATCTGTGTCCCTTGAATTGGCTAAACAGGTATATGTTATGAACTGCTAAGCAGTTAACTTCTTTTTTAAGTTACTTTTTTAACATGGGTAATCGTCAACTTAACAACAGTTAATTTAGTGACCGTTAGAAGTTACAACTGAAAAAAGTAACTTATGATTGTTTTTCACACTTACGGCCATTGCAGCATACCCATGGTCATGTGGTCAAAATTCAGATACTTGGCAACTAACTCATATTTATGATAGTTGCAGGGTGCTGGCGTCATGTGATCACCTTTTGGTGCCTTTCAACATGCAAAGTCAATGGGCAAACCAGATTAACAACTATGCTACTAATTTAACAACTGCAGTGATTCACTTAACAGCTATGGCAATAAAGGTCATAAAATGGAGAAAAGTCACTTAGCTGTCTCGCTTAGCAACAGAATCAATTAGCAATTGTGATCATAAATCAAAGATTACCTATATTTACCTACAGTAATTCTGCTTATTGTCTTTATATATTACTTCCATTAGTTTCTTTCAATATAAATATATACACATACGTGCAATATTTTGTCATTTAGGTTTTCCTTCTGTCAATATCCATTCATTATTTCTGTAGCAGCAAAAAAAGCTATAATTCAAAAGGATTCAGAACAACAAATGATAAATATTGCACGGGTAAGCATTCTTATTTATTAAATCAATTGTCTATTAAAATTGAAATAATGTCATTATAGATACTTTGTCTCTTCTTTTTAACTATATTTAGACTTCTGATACGATACAGCTTAAGTTATGCTTTAAGTTAACTGCAGAGTTGCTACGAGTTGGGCAACATATACATTTAATAAATCATTATCTACAACAATGTATTTGGGATGGTTTACTCTCTGTATAGAGCGGTGGGAACTTTTCCAGGTATCTTGGAATTTAAAATAATATCTGCTACTTATTTGCTGAGCTCATTCCTACTAAAGCCAACAAGTATGATGAAACACTTGTAATATCAAAGAGGGAAGATATTTATCTAAAATAATTATGGAACAAACTATAAAGGATTATGTTCTTTTTAAATGCCAGGGTGGAATGACTTTACCATTGCTAGAATTGTACTTTTACATGTACAGATAGATGTAACTATTCTTCACTTCAGTGTTCCTCTTTCCTACAGTGTATTATAAGATATGTGGGTGTAAGGATTGTAAGGAGGAGTTAATTGCTAGCAAATTCTGAAAGCTAAGTGTGGAGCATATTTTTAATTTCTGTATCAGTACTATAATTGCTGTCAAAACTATCCACAGAAGAAAGATGCCTATGTCACTGAATGCATACATTTATAGTTATTTGGTATTACATTTCTATATCAAAAATTATTCTAATCAAATCCTATTGCTTAACTTAACATTATCCATAATTAAGATCAGGCAGAAACATGTATAATTGGCATTAGTATTAGATATTTACCATATTTTTCAGAGTATAAGACGCATCTTTTTCCCCCTAAAAGGGGGTGAAAATTTAGGCGCATCTTATACACCGAATGTAGCCCCGCCCACCCACTGGCCCCCACCCTTTGGCCTCTGCCTCACAGCAGTTACCTCCTTACAAGCAAACAGTAAGAAAAAACAGCTCCTTTCAGCTTCAGCACAGCCTAATTAGCACAAGTTGATTGGATTGGCCTCCCAACTCTCAGCTGATTTACTCTCAGCTGTTTTGCTCAGGGCTCTGCTGCTTGCTGCAAAGAGGTAAATTGCTGGAGCAGATTTTTTTTTCCTTGTGCTAATCAAGCTATGCTGAAAACAAAAATGAAAGTAAAGTAGGCTGTTTGCTGTTTGCTGCAACAAGGCAAAATTGCTCAGAGGCAGAGGGCGATTTCTTTTTCTTCTTTTCCTCATCAAAAAAGGTAGATGCATCTTATACTCCGAAAAATACGGTAGGTTGTAAAAATTAGTTTACAGTATCATAGTATCTTTCATAATTCATAGAGGACAATATATGACCATTATTTTTTTCCTTCCACAACCACTTTGGATTTGGAACAGCAAAGCCTTGTTGATAAAGTATCTCGGAGGCAGAGACCTGATATGAATATGCTATTCCTAAATGTGAAAGTGAGAAGAATGCACCTAGTTAGTGATTCATTGGATGAGGTATGCAAAATGGGTTCTCTAAAAACTGTTGGAAAAAAAACAGTCTGATAGGTTCAGATTGATATCCTTGCCATATCCAAGTCATAAATCGTTTTGATTTGTCCACAGTTCCTAGTTCAGATATAATGGTCAACTATGCTGTGGTAAGTCCAGAAATCTTTATTTCTGGCCTTTGAGGACAGAAAGTAAATGATGGAGAAGAGACCACGTAAATCCCAGTGTCATGGAACCCAAAGGGCACTTCAGGACCTCATGTCCAACTCTATGCCAAATGCAGAGTTCCAAATTAAATCATCCTCAGGAAGTGGCTGTCTAGCCTCTGCGTGAGCAGATCCCGGGAAGGGAAAATCATTACCTTCCCTGGGAATTGTTCCACTTTCTTTAAATCGCTTTCTTTATTAGGATTTTTATCTTAAAGTTCAACCAAAATCTGCCTTCCAATAATATTATGTCACATAGACGAAATAATGGAGAACAAGCTTTTTTTTTTTTTTTTTTTTTGCATTATATTTGTTCAAGTACTTGATGAATGCAAATATACCCATGTTATCTTTCTTAAAGTTAAACATACTCTATTCCATTATTCTCTTGTAAGGCTTAGTTTTCAATCTATTAAACATCTATTCCAATTTCTCTGTATATTTTTTACAATATATATAAAAGAGGTGGGATATGAACTGTGCTAAATAAAGTAAAACTATTATTTCTACTAATAGAAATAGAAATTGTATAGAAAGATTAATGACACCCCTAATAGCTGAACCTTCTAAGACAAAAATTTGCTTTTCTTTACATTTGAGTGTTAGTTTGTATTATAAATGTTGCATTTATATTCCCTGTTCTCCAAAACAGTGTTCAAATAGCATTATTAACTTGTTTCATTTTATAAGATAATAGTTTTTAACTATTCACCATTTTGTTTTCGATAGCTCACAAGGAAGCAAGCGGATTTAAAAAAGAAATTAAAAGTTACATTTGTAGGTGAAGCTGGTCTTGACATGGGTGGCCTAACAAAAGAATGGTTTCTTCTTCTAATTAGGCAAATTTTTCAGCCAGACTATGGTGAGTTCTACTTAATGTTTAACCAAATAAGATAAAAATTAATGAATCCAAACTTGTTTGTTTGTGACGAAATTTTAAACAAAGACCTTTAAGTCACCTAATTGTTTGTCTATCTATTGCACACTTGGATCATTTGTGATAGCCTTGTCCTGTATTCTTCCAATAACAGAGCCTTTTAGGGCCATACAAAGCATATCAGATTCTCTTTCTGGGTAGAGAATTGACAATTTCTCCTCAATTAATAGGGAAGCTCAAAGAAATTAAGAAATTCAGGACAAAATATTTAAAGTATGAAATAGTATTAATGGGTAATTCTTCTTTGGAATGTTTTAAAGAATTATTATCATTATACCTATAATCATCATGTTATGCTTTACATTTAAGGAAATATACTGTATACACTGTATTTTATTAAATATTAATGTTACATTTCAATTGTTTTAACTATTTTACAAAACTGATATAAATTCTCAATTAAAAATGAAATTAGCATATGTTTTGTTTTCTCCAGCTGATCTTCCAGTTTTGTTATATTTCAGTATTTGAAATAAAACCAGTAATGCAATTTGTGAATAGAGAAATTATTCTTTTACTGTAATGATATAGGTATACATTTATTTAAAACCATTACTTGAACATTTTTGAGAGACAAGAATGAAAATTTTAGACATAGTTCACAGTATCTTTTGAGAACAGTAATATAATTTTATTTTAAAAACATTTATTCTCTCCTATAGGGATGTTTACATACCACAAAGATTCTCACTGTCATTGGTTTAGTAGTTTGAACTGTGATAATTACTCTGAATTCCGATTGGTTGGAGCTGTATCCTTTTTCTATCCACTAGAAGGTGCTGTATACACAGCTGATACCCCATAGTAAGATTCTTTGCATTTTTAATGTATTTTTTATTTTCATAGCATACATTTGACTGTATTTATAGATTTATGTACAGTGGAGATGAACAGTAGTTATGACAGAAAGTTTATTTATTTTCATATTTGACAGAATGGTTCAAATATGAAAATAAATAAATTATTTCGACAGAATTAGTTGCTGTTTACTGTCACAATTTATTAATAAAGGAAGATTGTATGCACAAATTAATATGTTCAAATAGAAAAGTTCTGTATTCAGTATTGAGTGATGGCCAGATTCTAGACCCAAATACTTTTAAAAAGTTGTTTGCAGGACTTGAGGATTATAGAACTAATACATATTAGGTAGTCCTCATTTAGCAGCCACAATTGGGGCCAGCAACTCTGTCATTAAGCAGAGCAGTCACTAAATTAATCTGCAATTGTGCTTATTATCTTACTTCAAATTTTCTTTGTTTTACAGAAGGCTGTAAATGAGAGAATTGATCACAAAGTTACTTTTCCATCACTGTTGCAACTGCAAAAAGTCATTAAATGAAGCAGTCGCTCAATAAGCCCTACCTCTAGTTATACCTTTGCTTGAAATGTCTTAATTTAAGAGTGCAAAAATAAGGATCATATGTTTAAATCCCATTTTAAAAAATTATTATTTCACATACAAAAAAGGATGCAGCCTTTTTCAGTGCCACATGTTGATTTGTCATGGTGGGGATTGAACTTGGTCGCAAAAAATAAAACCTTACTGAGGAGGAATTTTTTGAATAAAATTTAAATTTGCATGGTTATAATGCTGATATGTCAATATAATAGCCAAAAAATGTATTTTTAAAGCAGTTATTTAAGTGCAATAGATTACACATGTGTTTTTGTTTGCCTTTAAGTCAATCTTGGCTCTGAAGACTGTCTGGACAAGTCCCTGCAGTTTTCTTGGTAGCATTTTCAGAAATGGTTTTGCCATTGCCTTTTTTATTGTGGGCTGAGAAATGTGACTGGCTCACAGTCTTGTAGCTGGCTTTGTGCCTAAAGTGGAACTAGAACACATAGTCTCCCTGTTTTTAATCTCTGTGCCAAACTGGCCCATAGATTACATATATGCATTAACAAATAATATTTTGTTGTTTAATAATCTAGCTATGAGTAATTCTTTCTCCCATAAAAAGGCCTATTCACATATGGTGTATGTAAGCAGATAATCTTTAACAGAATCAATTTAGGGCATGTCAACATTCTAAAACAGCTACTTATCTCGATTTTCCAACCACTGATCAATTAAAGAATTCCTTCAGCTACTTGAAAAGATACATTTTTTAAAAAAATTATCTATTTGTTAAATATTTATGCCGTTCATCTCACTATCGAGCAACTCTGGGTGGCTTACCACGTCATAAAACTGCAATACAAAACAATTAGAACATGAAAACGTTAAAATGTGAATCATTAACCAAAAAACTGGATAAGAAAGGAAACAATACATAAACAGAGTGGAAGTGGGATCTTCTTTTTAACCACCTCCAGGGTGGGCCGCAAGCCAATCAGCAGATCTAGGTTTTCAGGCATTTTCTGAAGGCAAGAGGGTGGAGGCATATCTCACTTAAAGCAGCACAGTGTTCCAGAGTGGGGGAACCATGGCAAAAAAAAAGGCTCTTTTTCTAAACTCCATCAACTAAAATTCATTTCCTGACTGCATCCATAGCATACTCCTGCCAGAGCAAGTGGGCCAGGCCAATCTCATTGGGGTGAGACAGATCCTCAGGTAGCCTTGACCCCATGCCACAAAGGCTTTTAAGGTAAGAACCAACACCTTGAATTAGATGTGCTAATGGACCATTCCTAGGGGCTCCTAAAACTGTCTGCGCAATTGCATTCTGTGCCAGCTACAGCATTTGAATGCTCTTCAAGGATATCCCCATGTAGAGCACATTGCAGTAGTCCAAACACGAGATGACCAGGGCATGAATGACTGAGCACATTTTCAGCTTTATTCAGAGGTGGGCTGCTGCCAGCTCACACCGGTTCGGGCGAACAGGTAGTTAAGATTCTGCACAGTTTGGCGAATTAGCAAATCCCACCACTGGGCTGGCCTGGCCCCTGCTCATTTTCCAGGCCATTTTCCAGCTCTTTTTGGGCTGGAAAACTGCCCAGAAAATAGCCTTTTGGCTGTTTTTCGGGCCATTTTTTGCACGTTTTCGGGCTGAAAAACGGCCGGAAAGCAGCCCGAAAATATTTATTTATTTATTTATTTATTTTATTTATTTTATTTGGCTTATATGCCGCCCTATCTCCCAATGGACTCAGGGCGGCTCACAATAATAAAAACACAAGCCACAATACAAAATAAAACCTAAAATCTAAAAAATTTAAAATTTAACTCTTAAAACCTCCATCAGACCAAGGTTTGTGATTCGTCAAGCGATTTAAAAAGCCAAGTTTTTAATTCACAACGGAAGGTGCGAAGGTCAGGCGCTAATCGGAGCTCCAAGGGAAGTTGATTCTAGAGGGTGGGCGCACCCACCGAGAAGGCTCTACCCCTGGGGGCTGCCAGCTGGCACAGTCTAGCCAACGGCACCCTGAGCAGGCCCTCTCTATGGGCGCGCACCGGGCGATGGGATATCGTTGCTGGCTGTAGGTGGTCCGCCAAATATCCTGTGTCTAAGCCATATAGGGCTTTATAGGTCATCACCAGCACCTTGAATCTCACCCGGAGGGCAACCGGTAACCAATGCAAGCCGCGCAGGAAGGGTGTAATATGGGAGTATCGGGATTCTCCCATCACAACCCGCGCAGCTGCATTTTGCACCAGCTGAAGCCTCCGAGTGATCCTCAAGGGCAGCCCCATGTAGAGAGTGTTGCAGTAGTCAATCCGTGAAGTGACCAGCACATGAGTAACTGTGCATAGGGCAACTCGGTCCAAGTGGGGATGCAACTGGCGCACCAGATGTATCTGGGCAAATGCCCCCCTGGTCACAGTCGTTGTATGATCTAAGCTCAACCATGAATCCAGGAGGACGCCCAAGTTGCGCACCCTGTCTACAGGGGATAAAACTTTCCCCCCCTATAGTCAGCGATGGCACCTCTCCTCTGAACCGAGATGCCGGTACCCACAGCCACTCGGTCTTGGCCGGGTTGAGTTGCAGTCTGTTTCTACCCATCCAGACCCGCACCGCTTCCAGGCACCGGGCCATTACGTCGAGAGCATCACTGGGTTGGTCCGGGGTGGAAATAAAGAGCTGAGTATCATCAGCATACTGATGATACCTCACCCCAAAACCACAGATGATCTCCCCTAGCGGCTTCATATAGATGTTGAACAGGAGGGGCAAGAGGACCAACCCCTGGGGCACCCCCCAAGTGAGGGGCCTCCAGGTCGATCTCTGCCCCCCTGTCAACACCGCTTGCATTCGACCCGAGAGGTAGGAGGAGAACCACTGTAAAACAGTGCCCCCCACTCCCAACCCCTCGAGGCGACGCAGCAGGATACTGGTCGATGGTATCAAATGCCGCCAAAAGATCCAATAGGACCAGAACAGAAGAATAACCTCTGTCCCGGGCCCTCCAGAGATCATCCACCAGCGCGACCAATGCCATCTCCGTGCTGTACCCGGGCCTGAAACCTGATTGGTACGGGTCAAGGTAATCCGCTTCATCCAGGACCAGTGGGAGCTGACGTGCCACCACATTCTCGACAACCTTCACTAAAAAGCGGAGGTTGGAGACTGGATGAAAGTGACTCACCACCACCTCCTTCAAGTTACCGACCTCCTTCAGGTCGGGAACTTACCCTCCCTCCACCTGGATCCAGTTTCGTGTCACCTCCCGGGCTGAATAAACCAGCCAGGAGGGACACGGGTCCAACACACATGTGGCCGCACTCAGCTTCCCCATGATCCTGTCCACTTCCTCTGGGGTAACAGAGTCAAACTCTTCCCAAAGCACAAGGCCCGCTGTCTCACCCCCGTCTGACTCTGTCCAGTCAGAGTCCAGGCCATCCCGAATCTGAGCGATTTTGTCTGACAGGTGCTGACCAAACTCCTCGGCTCGTCCCTGTAAAGGGTCTTCCCTCAACCTCTGATTTAAGAGGGAGCGGGACACCCTAAATAGGGCAGCCAGACGATTCTCTGCAGACGCGATGACATCGTTGAAGTAGCGGCGCTTTGCCGCCGCCAACTCCACCAGGTAGGCCCATGTGGCCGACCTTAACTGAAATCGGTCAGATTCGGAACGACTGGCATTCCAACAGCTCTCTAGGCCTCATCTATGCCGCTTCATCCCCCGGAGCTCCTCAGTGAACCAGGGAGCCAACCGGGGTCTGCGACGAGTCAGAGGCCACAAAGGAACGACCTGGTCCAGAACCCCGGCAGCAGCCTCTTCCCAGGCCTCCACCAGGGCCGTGGCCGGGGCGTGGGAGAGAGAGAGGGATCATCCCAAGCTCCATCTGGAACCTCTCAGGGTCCATCAGGCACCTGGGGCGGAACCAGATGGTCGATTCCGCCTCCCAGTGAGGAGGGACGGCGTAACGGAAGCCTAGCCAAAGGAAATAGTGGTCGGTCCATGACAGGGGGTAAATCGAAAGTGATCCCCCACCGAGCTCCACTCGCCACTACTGCGAGACAAAAACAAGATCGGGCGTGTGGCCCCTCCCCATGAGTCGGGCCCTGAATAATCTGAGTCAGGTCCATAGCTGCCATGGAAGCCATGAACTCCCGAGCCATCCCTGACACCGCACCCAGGGATGGCAGATTGAACTCCCCCAGAACAATAAGTCTGGGAAACTGCACCACCAGCCCTGAGAGGGCGTCGATTAGTCTGGGCAGGGCTGTTGATACACAGCTGGGAGACAGGTACGCAATCAACAAGCCCCCAACTATCTTAACATCACTAACTTTTTTTGCACTGTACATGACTATTTCGTTGGAATTTCAATTAAGAAAAAAATCTGGAATGTACTTTTTTTTTTAAGAAATATACCTGTTTTTCATCTTAAGTTGGTTATAAAATAATGTGTTGGTAGTTTTTCCATTTTACAAACATGGTTAAATAATTTTACTTCATATTTATTACCGAAATACACTATATAAGAATAGACACAGGAAATATTGTTGCAGTTATGAACATATCCCTAGTGTTTCTCTGAGATCTACAGCCGGCATTTGATATGTTACACCCAGATGATATGTTATATGCAGACCTTGTTTGCTTATATATTAGGGTACCAGGATCTATGGTATTTTTGGCAATATTTTGGAAAAGGCTTGTTTCTTTCTGGGATTATTTTTTGAAAATAATTCCTATGATAGGGTGGAATTCCATGGCTTATTAATAAGCTTGTTGGTGGATTATTTGTTATAGAAATTAGATTACATTTAGATGCAGTGTCAGTATTCTAAATATGTAATATTTTTATCATCCCTGTTTAATATGTGTGTTAAGTCATATAACATTAATAAAACTGATAGTATGCCCTAAAATGAGAATATGATATTAAACTTAACATTCATTATCCAGCTTATGGGACTAGCTGTCTATAATAGTATCACACTGGATATTCGATTTCCACTGTGCTGCTACAAAAAATTACTTAGTCCTCCCATTGTACCATGTGACCTGAATACACCTGTAGGAATTGGTAATGTTACTATTGATGACTTGTGTCGGGTTATGCCGGTAGGTATAAGAGTTATTTTGAAATGTCAATTTTTTTTTTTTAGTACAGTATTGGTGGTTTGACTGCATAATTTCAGATTGTGTTTATAGAGCAGAAAATATTATTGTACTTTATAAAGTTCCTGTTTATCATTAGCAGATTCATGCATTGTTATAAAGCCCAGAAATAGCATATATTTTACATCAGTGATAACAGGTAATGCTTCACCTCTGCTTTGTTTATACTGTGTGTGTTGGTGTTATATTTGCTGTATATGATACTTTTTTTTTTTGTTTTAGTTCGAAATCAAACAGCCATTTCTATTTCTGGTGCATGATTAAAATTATCCATTTTAACAAATATAGCATTATTGTAAGTAAGCACAAAATGCAATCTTTAAAAAAGAAACTCAGTTGTAACTTACTTTAGCATACATTGTACTCAAATACTATTCACATGAACAATTACACTAATGTTCATAACTGGCACATATTTATAAAGAGAATATTTATAGCTCAAGATTGACATGAGGTCCTTGGTGCTCTCTGAGCTTGCTTGTTTTCTTGCAGATGTTTCATTACCCAATTACATTACCTAACTACCTACTTTCAATTTGATGGACATATTTACTGTATCAACAAATTAAAAGGACACCTATGGAATCACTTCTTTCAGGACTTACAGCAGAGGTCATCATGCAATATCTAGAAGCCATAGCACTTCCACAAATACAACAAGTACACAAATACAACAAGAGCCTTGGTGGCACAGCAGACTAAATTGCTGTTAAATAGCATCAGCTGCCTGCAATTATTGCAAGTTCAAATCTCACCAGGCTCAAGGTTGACTCAGCCTTCCATCCTTTCGAGGTAGGTAAAATGAGGACCCGGTTTATGGGGGCAATAAGCTGACTTTGTATAAAAAAGAACACAGTTCTTTTGGGGGGAGGGGCAAAAGCCCTACTAAGCAGGTATATAGAAACGTATGAAGGCTATTGCTTAACGCATTGTAAGCCGCCCTGAGTCTCCAGAGAAGTGTGGCATATAAATTGAACCAATAAATTGAACCAATAAATAAATCAAAAATATCGATCAGATATGTAGATGACACCTTTACCACAATAAAAAGGGCCAATTAGAGAACACCCACAGAACCATCAATAACATTTTTAAAGGAATCCAGTTTACTAGAAAAGAAGAAAACAATAACTCACTACCTTTCCTGGACATCCTGATCAGCAGATACCAAAAAACAAACTAGAAACGCAAGTCTACAGAAAAACCCAGCCTAACTAGGTGCTCCACTATCAAAGCAACAACCCAACCTCCCACAAGAGAAATTTAACAGATTAACAGAGTTGGAAGGGACCTTATAGGTAATCTAGTCCAACCCCCACTCAAGTAGGAGACCCTACACCATTTCTGACAAATTGCAGCCCAATCTTTTCTTGAAAGTCTCAAGTGATGAAGCTCCCACAACTTCCGAAGGCAAGCTGTTCCATTGGTTGATTGTTCTCACTGTCAAAAAGTTCCTCCTCATTTCTAAGTTGAATCTCTCCTTGGTCAGTTTCCATTCATTATTCCTTGTCTGGCCTTCAGGTGCTTTGGAAAAGAGCTTGATCCCTTCCTCTCTGTGGCAGCCCCTCAAGTATTGGAAGACAGCTATCATGTCTCCCCTGGTCCTTCACTAGACTAGCCATGCCCAGATCATGTAACCGTTCTTCATATGTTTTAGTCTCCAGTCCCCTAATCATCCTGGTTGCTCTCTGCATTTTTTCTAGAGTCTCAACATCTTTTTTATAATGTGGTGACCAAAAGTTGATGCAGTACTCTAGGTGTAGTCTTATTAGGGCTTTATAGAGTGGTATTAGTAGTACCTCACTTGATCTTGATTTTATCCCTCTGTTAATGCAATTTAGGATTGTGTTGGCTTTTTTAGCTGCCGCTGCACACTGCTGGCTCATATTTAGCTGATCGATCATTAATATTCCAAGCTCCCTCTCACAGTCACAGCTATTAAGCCTGGTTTCCCCCAGTTTATATGTATGCTTTTGGTTTTTCTAACCTAAGTGTAAGTTGAGTAAGGACTTTATTTAGATGAGCCCAAACATACTGCAGCAATCCAGAACAGCATGAAAAGGAAATAGAGCGTCTATATAACATATTCAAACAAAATGGATATCTATGCAACTTCATCAAAAAGTCCCTGATCACTCAACCCAATACAGCACAACCAATGCAAATCCTAAAAAGAATTAGACTGCCATGCATCAAGAATATCTCAGGAACCACCAACAGACTATTACAACCTCATGGTATCAGCATAGCATACATGCCAACCAAAACCCTTCAAAACATCCACCAACACTGACAGGGCAAGTCACCAGAATATAAACTGACAGCAAACCACACTCCTCACTAGCACTAATCATTTGGATAATGAAATGTCTGCAAGAAAACAAGCAAGCTCAGAGAACATCAAGGACCCCTCATGACACATATTTTATCTAGAAATGTCTTCAAATAACTACCAGTATATAATATTTGCAACTGAATCATGAACAAGTTACAATTCTAAACTATTTTTTTCATGTTGAGAAAGTGTCAGGCAATTTAAGATTCTGTGATGCTCAGTTGATGATAGCTCTTTCACACATGTAAGCAATCATCTGATGTTTTGCCAAAAATTGAACTACTCATACATTATAACAGGGTAATAAAAACATGGGCTTTTTCCCTTTCAGCATAATTCCTGGAGAGGAACTATGAGCACCTTCAGTAACAGGAGATACATGATTCCACTCTTTTACAGATTAGGGGGCCTCCTTTGGTAATCAGTTTAGGAATATTGCACTGGCTCTGAATAAACTCAAGAAATTTGGTGCCTCCAGGATTATACAGTAGTCATTTTAATTGCCTACTAAATTGTCAACACATAGTATTCTAAATTTCAGATCACATATAAGTAACAATATAAAATCAGCATTAAAGAAATATGGCAATGAAAGAGTCCACTCTGATTGCCATGTACATGTGTAGGTTCAACATAAAACCCTTTCTTAATGTAATGTCACAAAACAAACCTAACCATTTTTGCAGGAGCTGAACAAATACCTAAGGTCTACTTTCAGTATATTAGGTATTAGAAACAACATTTAGTAATCCTGTCCAAGAGGCTTTATCATCCACCTCAGAAAAACATTTGCCATTGAGCACATAATGTGCAATTACGATGATTTGGAATGAAAGGGTTGCCGATGGTCCATTCCAATACTGTATTTACAGAAAGCTGTTAATGTTTAGAGCTAGCAATTCTGTGTTGCAAAACTGAATAATCACTACATGGCAGCAATCAGATATAGAATACACTCGTTTCTTACTTTCATCAAATGGCAGTCTAGATCTAAAGCAGCCTAGATTTATACCCTAGCATTCTTTGAATTGTTGGGATTTGACAGCATTAAAATATGTCAAACAAATTAATTACTATTCTTGATTTTAATAAAAATGCTGCATTTTTAAAGCTCCATAGGAGAAATCCTATTCTCAGGAGCCTGAGTGGCGTAGGAGGCTAATGCCTCCTACTAAGGCAGCATTTAACATCCAGCTGCCTGCAATTACTGCGAATTCAATTCTCACCAGCTCAAGGTCGACTTAGCCTTCCATCCTTTCTAAGGTGAGTAAAATGAGGACCTGGTTTGTGGGGGCAATAAGCTGACTTTGTATAAAATATACAAAAGTATGAAGGCTATTGCTTAACGCATTGTAAGCCACCCTGAGTCTCCGGAGAAGGGCAGCATATAAAAATAAATAAATAAATAAATAAAAAATAATGTTTTATGAAAGCTATAATACTTGGCCAACTAGGTCTGGACTGCAAAAAACTTGATGGTCAATAAATGGCAGTAAAGTTTAATTTTCTGTATTTCTTTGTTGCTATCTTGTGGTCATCAGAACTTCGTGCAGCCCAGATCTTGTATCCTCAAAGAAGCATTTGTTATTAAAATAAGGAGTTTATGGAGTGTTCATTTTTAAAATAAGAAAACATAATGGAAATGTATTTAAATAGGTAATTGGAAGCAGAGGTATTTTCATTGGGGTTTTGTGCATGGGTTGATGTTCAAAACTTCCCAGAGCTGCTGGGAACTGAGCAGCATATAAATTTAATACATTATGGTTCATCACATCATCAGCCAGATGTTTGGACTGGATTTGGCATTTTTATCCACCTGCCAAGTCCTTCCCAAGGAGAGATAGGCAGATGTTTTATGCAGTTTTACATACATCCTGCGATGATGCCTTTCATACCATCAAACAATAGGTGTTATCTGTATATAGTATTAGTTGTGTAGGAAACACTAAATATACAATAAATTTCCATTTTTTTACTTTTACAAAACATTGATCCAGAAAGTAAAAATGGGTGGCCTTCACTAACCCATTTGAAAAGGAAAAGCAGTGATGTAAATCATATTTGCTGCAGTAAGAGTGCCATTTGGTATCTGATATGAAATGCTTGCGGCTACTCAGGTGATCTACATAACATTTCTAGGATTCATAAGGAAAGAAGGACATTCTGTGTATTTTAATTTTCAAAAAAATTTCTTACAGGAGTTAGCTCATGGATTAAATGAGCTGCTATCCTATGAAGGGAATGTTGAAGAAGACTTTTATTCAACCTTCCAGGTATAATAATAAAATCAGAATGCTTGAGTTGGAAGGAATCTAACAGGTTATAACTACTGTGTTTCCCCAAAAATAAGACCTCCCCCAAAAATAAGACCTTCCCAAAAATAAACCCTTCCCCGAAAATAAGCCCTTAATGAAAATATTTAAGCGCATGTGCAGTCTGTCCCTGCCATTTCCTCTGGTTAGGGTTAGGGAGACAGAGCTGGAAATCAGGTAAGATGGCAAGAGGAGCCCTATCTTGCTCCACGTGTCCCAAAATAATAAGATCTCCCCGAAAATAAGGCCAAATGCTTATTTTGGGGTTCAAAAAATATAAGATAGGATCTTATTTTGGGGGAAACACGGTATATAATTATCTATTATATAATTGTCTAATCCAGCCCCCTTGCTAAATTCAGGAATCCATTAAATTGTTCCCTCCATTATACATTATTGTAAATTATATTAATATTATTTTGGAAAACACTTCTGTATTATTTCTGACAACAGCAGCATTTAATTAGCTTAAGAATAAAGATGGAAATGAAAACTGTCATTCAAAATATACTCCCATTGTCCAAAATTCTATATTATCCAAATTTAGTTTTTCCCATATTCCCAAGCGCTTTATTACAATCATTTAGAATATTTTGGCTATTAATCTTTCTTTTTAGCTTCTTGCTTTTTATCCTTTCTTCATTACAGCTGGGGACAGCAAGTCAGCCAAAATTATTTAATGATTTCAGATTTTATTTTAGTCTGGTTGGCTGCATTCAGTTTTTAATCATTCCATCTTTCACTAAGCTCTTGAAAGGCATTATAGCCTCTACTTATTCTCCATGTACAACTCAGAACACCTTTTCCATGAAATAAATGTTAGTGCAAATACCATTTTAAGAATTGAAAAATAATTGTAGCTACAGCCAAGGAATACCTTGTTTGTGTGTAAATGAGTTTTAATTTCTCTTAGAATTAATAGAAATGTACACATTTACCAAATCTCATATGAACTGACTGAAAGGCTTAACATTTGACAGAAATTCTGAGTAACACATTTTTTCTTTGTACATAGGCACAAGTGGTCCTTGGCTTACAACCATTCAATTAGTGGCTACTTGAAGTTACAAAGGCATTGAAAAAGTGACTTATGACTGTTTTCACACATGACCGTTATACGATCTCTGTGATCATGTGATCAAAATTTTGATGTTTGGCAACATGCATGTACTTATAATGGTTTCAGTGTCCTGGGATCATGTGATCCCCCTTTTAACCTTCTGACAAGCAAAATCAATGGGGAAGCCAGATTCACTTAATGTGTTACTAAGTTAACAACTGCAGAAATTCACATAACAACTATGGCAAGAAAGATTGTAAAATGGGGCAAAACTCACTTAACAACTGCCTTGCTTAGCAATGGAAATTTGGGGGCTCAATTGTTGTAAACCGAGGACTACCTGTATTACATTTATATCAGGGGTGGGTTCTACTTACCTTTACTACCGGTTCGCAACGGGAGCACATGTGCGTGCTCGCTTTGCTCACATGCACGCACTTCTGCGCATGCGCAGATCGTCCATGTGACGTCCGGGCGGGTGGGCAGAGCTTCCCACCGCTTTTACTACCAGTTTGCAAGAACCAGACAGAACCAGGAGCAACCCACCACTGATTTATATTCTACTTTTTCTTAAGGGGCTGATTGCCTTTTTTTTTTTTATAACAAAAGTTTTTTATTTTTTATATTCAAACAACCAAACACTACACAATCAATTATCATACTTCATTTTATCCCCACCCAAACCCCACCTCCCCCATTCCCCCCGACTTCCCAGAGCAAAAACAGGATATAGCATTTAACAAACATAAGCTAAAATATGCTAACTATTACAGAATTCAAAACTCTCTCACACTTGTTAACTCCCCTTTTAAAAATTATACTTCAACCTTCCTTTTATAAATTCTCTTATCACATTTCACATTTATTAAAAAAAGGAAAAAAAACATAATCTTATTTTAAACATTTTAAAATCTCTTAATACATTAGCAGAACATTCTCCAAAATATAAGTTTCAAAACTTTCAAAAAGTTATCCATTAAATTTTAAATTATCCACCTTTAAACTTCAATACTTTAAAACTACAATAAAATTCAGAAAGTTATCCAACTTTAATTAAATCTTTTAACATCATGAGACAATCTCCAAAATATGACCAGTCTTTCTTTCTTTCTATATTTTTTCCAGTCCTTCTTCAATAATACTTTCTTCTTCAGCATTGCTCCTCCCCCTGCTTTTATTTTCAAAAGTTTTTGGGTTTGAAATTGTAGTTGGTGTGTCTTTGGAATTCGTTCTCTTCTTGGAGTTGTTTCCTTTAATTTGAAGCCCCCATTTCGACTCTTCCTGCATTTGTAGTCCATCAGTTCGTTCCTTATATATTGATTCTGTCTGTAGAGCCAAAACTTGTCAAAATATTTATCAACCTGCAGTAAAGAGTCTTCTTGCTGTTTCTCAATTAATTGAATGGAAGCCTCTTCCAGAACGCCTGTTTTCGGTACAATAACCTCCATTTTAGCCCCAACAATGTCTCTTTTATCCTCCAAAGGCACATTATCCTGATTAATTTCTTCCTCTTTTCCAGCCAGCAAGTCATTATTATTCCCCAATTTAAAATCTTGAATAGTTCTTTTAATTATCTGTCTTATCTCAACAGCAAAAGATTTTTAAAAATCTTTTAAGTCCTTTGCAGTCACTATTTGTAAGTTTGCTGACTCATATAATCCATCTTTAATTTCAGCCATTTTTCAATTGTCTCTTTATGTTTGTATTAATTTGGCTATCAGGTCATTAACTCCAATTATTTCCACGCAAATTAAGGATGTAAGTTAATTAAAATCAATACCACAGTCTTTTCCATTCCACTTCCACTTTAAATCTTTTTCTTGAATAACGCGATAGCTTTAACAATGTTACTGATGTTAACAAGGACTTTCACTTATAAGTTTCATTTTCACGCCCTAAGGCGCCATCTTTCCCCTTTTAAACGGAGTTAACATACAATACTTGCATTTTTAGTCTCCTGGATTAATTCTGCCAGCATCCAAAATCCAAATTCTTTATAATCTTTCTAGTTGCTTTGCTGGTGTGGTCGCGACGCTTCGGTCTGCTTATTTTTAAACAGACTCATCCCGGCTCCAGAGCTCTGAAGGGCTTTCAGGGAGCTCTCACCCTGCAAACCCCAGGCTTAAAAAAAAAAAAAGCCTGGAGGTCTAGGGGACCTCTACCCAGACCCTTCTGCTCTTCTCTCCCCCTTTTCCCTGGGGGAGAGTTTTTAAGCCGCTAGACAGCTGATTTTCACTGTTCTAGCAGCTATACCGAGTCACGGGGTTGGAGCTCCTAAAAGGAGCTCCGTTGGCGTTTCGCGGAGCCACCGGAAGTCATCCTCTGATTGCTTTTAACCTCCCAGCAACATTGTGAAGGGAAAAAGAATATTGGCCAAAATAATTAGCAGATTTAATTTCCAATGGGGTATTCCAATCTTAGTCTGTCACTGCATTTCACTAAAATATCTTGTTTTATCAGGTTTTTCAAGAGGAATTTGGCGTCATAAAGTGTTATGACTTAAAGCCTGACGGAGATAAAATACCAGTTACCAATGAAAATAGAAAAGGTATAGTATAATATAATATAAAAATCATTTGAATTAATTTGAGCTGTTTTCAAAATTACATCTGATAATAATGAGCTAATTTTAAATACTGAATATTAGAGTTTCAAATCCACTGCAGTAAACACCTGTGATTAATACTGGCTAAAAGAAAATCTGAACTATTCTCTTTTTCAGAGTATGTGCAGCTTTATGTAGACTTTCTTCTCAATAAATCAATCTACAAACAGTTTGCTGCATTTTATTATGGATTTCACAGTGTCTGTGCTTCCTATGCATTGATGGTAAGAATAAAAAAATATTGAACAGAAAGTTAAAATGCGGTATGTTTTGGAGAATACCTATACATACATATAGTCCTTGACTTATGACATGTCATTTAGCGACCATTCAAAGTTTTAAAACTCCCCCCAAAGGTACTTACAGTCTGGTTCTGAAGTTCTGACAGACAGGGAAATTAGTATACATTACTTGAATGTTCACCTTAGAAAACCCTGGTTAAATTACTGCTGTAGGAAAGATACGCTTACAGGGAAAAAATGAAAAGCTTGTCATTTTGTAAAGTATGATTTTTTTTTCAGTGTAGATGTTACTTACTCTTGCTCTAACCACAATTGCCAAAAGAAAACAAATTGATGATTAATCTATTTATATAACTAAGAAACATAAGATTGTATTTACTGGTAAGTCTTTAGCAGTGAGTGTAACTAGATTAGTTTAAATCTAGCATACTGGAGTGTAAAACTACTGGTAAGATTGCACTGAAGAAATTTTGATTATAAGCAACTTTGAATTTGACAAATATTGTATCTTTGTTTAATTAATAATTATTTTATTCATGTAACCAGAATTTAAATCCAGTGTTATGAAATTTTATATTTAGCCTGAACCTTAATTGAATAATAATTTTTGCTGGTGTTATCTATATTTTCCTTGATTTCCCTATAATGTTGCCTTTTGTTAAGTCTGAAATGAAAGATTAAGAAAACTTAAATACTACAAAAGAAAAATATTCACCCAGTTTATACAATCCATTTTATTTTGCAGCTGCTTCATCCTGAAGAAGTTGAAATTCTGGTATGTGGAAGTCCTGAGTTGGATATGCATGCTCTCCAGAAACACACACAGTATGATGGCTATCAGAAAACTGATCTTACTATCCGGTATTTTTTTTTCTTTAACTCTTTAATCGAAAATATAGAAACTGATTTTGAGTTGGAACTAACACTGTTTTGTATAAAATTCAGGAATTTCTGGGAAGTAGTACTCGAATTTCCTCTTGAACTTCAAAAAAAGCTCCTACATTTTGCTACAGGAAGTGACAGAGTACCCGTAGGAGGAATGGGAGACCTTAATTTTAAAATTTCAAAGAGTGAAGCATCCACAAACTGGTAAAAACTTTGGCTTATACTGTTATTATTCTGGCTTGTAATCAGATATTACAGAATGAAATTAATGCATGTAAACCAGTGAGTGAGTCATTGAAAGTGTTGCTTGCTTACTCCTATCTGGACATCTTTAAATGGCCCAGGCCCCCGGTCAAATATTTAAAACTGTTTATTAGGAATTCACTAAAAATAAATGAAAGCAAAAAAAATGTTCAAGGGCCAAGACCCAATTCATTCTGCTCCTCTTTCCTACTCAATCCTTCCACAAAAGTGGATTGAAAAGTGGATCCCCTTATTCTCCACCGCTAAATCAAAAATAGGGTTAGCACCATCTCAGCAAATGTGATGATGCCAAAAGGTTGACATGGGCAGGTTACCCCATAAATGTCATGATTACACTTGTACAAGTATCCTGTTGCCTGATGCAAGTATAAAAGTCTCATGACTGCACATTGATGAAATCATGCACATCTTGTCCTTTGCTCCCCATTGCAATTGACCATGATCATAATATTTAGCTACTCCCCGGTATCAGGAGGGTTGAAGTAAAATTATACTGAACTGCTAAACATTGTACGCTTCAGAGCTGTCAGTTGCTGGTAAAGAAATTCTACTTCTGTTCTATGAGCATTCGTCCTTTGTTGTCACGTCTTAATATAGTCATCTAAATTATTTCGTATTTAATATGCATATATTCTTTTTTATATTTTAGGTTACCTATTGCCCATACTTGCTTCAACCAGCTCTGCCTGCCTCCATACAAGACGAAAAAGGAACTGAAGCAAAAGTTGACAATTGGGATTTCAAATGCAGAAGGCTTTGGTTTAGAATAAGACAACTTTTAAAAAGCATAGCGGATGTAGCACCTGCTTTCTACTGTGCCTTTAAAGCTTCTTATGTTTCAATCTCTCAATACTGTGACAGTCTTACTTAGAACTGTGTGAACTGTTGTTGTTTTTTAAGGAGTGCATTCTTTTTTCTGTATAGAAATATGTTTAGTCTTTCTTATAGAAATTTTGTATAAAAGTCTTAATCTTTGCAACCTGTCAGAACTATCAAATATATGATGCTATACAGTCATCTAATCTAAGATAGACAACCATCAAGAATTAATCTCTATCACCTCAAATTGTTTGCACTACAGGGATGAGGTTCAGAGTAAATTATTATTGCTCACAATTGGTATAGCTCATATGCACTATATTCCAGTGGGAAGTGCAATATAGAAATTGTATTCTTCATGATCAGTTAAGCTTATTTTCAATTAATAACAAATTGTAACTTATTTATCTGAGACAATTGAAACAAATAATGTTTTAAAAATATATTAAATATTATTTTGATTTTCCTTTTCAGAATAAATTATTAATTTAAGATCATGTAAATAATTGCCCACAGGCCAATATGTTTTTGATAATACCATTTACAGATAAAGATTTATTTTTACAGGGTTTCCAGTGTTAAATGTTCAAGATTTTTACAATTGAACAGAACTGATTGTATAAGAATACAAAGGCTGCTATCTTACCATCTTAAATTTATCTAGATTTAATGGACCAATTGTAACTTTTAAATTGCATGTATATGATACCAGATTGATAGATTTGGCTATTATGTGTTTATAACTCCAATTTAAACAAGAAGATTGAATGTTTAATAATACAAATTTGGATTTGTTACTTGATTAAAAACAAATCACTTTGGCACAACGAGAAAGTTGTTTTAATATATTTAAGTTACGCATCTTCACATTTCTAACACCATATTGTTTTTTATACAAGATTTAAAATAAATTAAGTAACTTTTTATATAAAAATGAATGTAATCAATGTATAGTAAATGCTCCAGCTTTTATTTCTTACCTTCAAGTGTGATAGCTAATAGCCAAAATGGTTCTTAAAACCTGAGATTCATGTCCAAAGTTATTGCCACGATCTCCTCCAAGTATCACAGGCTAGAGCCAAGCATTATCTCCAGGATATTCTTTTCATGAATATATTTGGATGACAACTGCTGAAAATAGAAGGTTGGATTGGGAGCTGTGGTGGCACAGTAGGTAGAATGCAGTATTGCAGGCTCAGTGGTTTACAGTGTCAGCATATTAGCCCCAACAATCTGGGTCCTCATTTTATTGATCACAGAAGGATGGAAGGTTGAGTCAAGCTTGAGCTGGTCAGGATCGGACTCTTGGCTGTGAGCAGTGTTTGCCTGCAATACTGCCTTCTAGCCACTACACCACCATGGCTCCTTTTGCTGCTTTCTCTGGGAATTTGTACAAGTCAGTAGTTCGGACAAAAAAAAATCTTATTATTTATTCCTTTTTCTGCAAGTACTTTGTTTTATGCAACATCAGCTTTATAATGGTTTTGAGATTATTTTGTTGTGCATGGTTGTGTCTGCTAATATCTGTTGATTTGGGAGATCTATTAGTAGCAAAGACCATACTTCACAAAAATGCAATCAATATTCAAATAATATCTAACCTCTTTAATATGACAATTATCCAACATTAGGCTCCAACCATTGCTGCAGAAAATGAGAAGATTGCCAAGTGGTTAATTCAATCTGAATTCAACAGAACAGATGTGCTGCTTGTGGTTGAGGAACAGAATATGCAAACTGGAAATAGGAAGAGGAAAATGTAGGCAGAGTTTATTGCCTAGAGTGCCAAAGCAGGAAACTGAAGAAACAAATCTAGATGTCAGAACATATTGTGGAAATTGTCAAGAACAAAAGAGAAGCCAAAGCCATGAACAAATTCTCTGGAAGGAGCCTAAAGAGTTTCAGAGGGTGGTTGAATGACACAGTAGTTTTGCAGTATTAAAATGACATTGAAGATGGAAACAGACACAGAAACAGTTTTCCAAAAGAAGTTTTTATTCAGAAGAAGATTAACTATCTGTGGAGATTCTCAATCATCCAGTCATGGTTGTCTCAAAGGTGCTTTTTCAAAAGACAACTGGACTATGTTATTTTCTAGAGGAAGAAGATGTTTTGCTTCATCAGTTCAAGCTGGATTGGGGGGTGGGGGGAATGGAAAGATTAGTTCTGATAATCCTTCCATTCTTTCCTCAGCATCCTGTCAGAACTAATCATTCCATTCCACACCATCCTTCAGAACTAATCCAACCTCCACCATTCAGAATTGATGAAGCTTCTTGGATAAGAAGCAAAACATCTTCCTCTTCAAGGAAAAAACAGTCCAATTGCCTTTTGAAAAAGCACTTTTAAGTCAGGAGGAAGTTCCAACCTCACACTGGTATACTAAAGGATGGCCATGGACAAATTGTAACTGATTAATAGATCAAGCAAAATGGAAGGAGTATATTGAAATTCTATGCAATGGGGAAGTCAACATCCAAAATACCTTGAAAAATATTTGTTATTTACAAGAACCTATAATATTGGAAGATGAAGTAGATCAGAGTTCTGGTCATTATCAAGATAGAAAGCTACAGAAATCAATATATTATCTACAAAAATATGGCAAGAAATAAAAGAAGAATAAAAATTGTAACTAAGCTAGGCCATCAAAAATGGAACATGACACAGATGCGAGCAGTTTGGAAAAGCTCCATTTGCATACCAATATCAAAGAAAGGAGAATTAAGACAGTCTGCAAGCTTACACAACATCCTTAATGTCAAATGCTACCAAATAATGCTTAGGATCATCTAAGGCAGATTTAAAAAAAAAGAAATACCAGATGGTTTTAGAAAAGACCAAGGAATAAAAGACATTATTGCTGATACACATTAGATAATTGAGAAAGCAAAAAAACAACAAAACAAAAAATCATTTCCATAAATCTGTGAGGGAGATGGGTACTCCCAAAATGTGATAAATAAGGAAATAAAAATAAGTCAGTATGTACTTCATTGATTAGAGAAAGTAATTCATTTGTGTCAACCATTCAATTTGTGGAATATATATAGGAAACTCTCATTGCCTTCAGGAAAAACCTACACAGGATAGGAACATTCAAAGTGGCAAACCAAATTAACTCAAAGTAGGAAAACAAGTTTACCAGATACTCTCACATAATTTATTCAATTTAAATGCTTAATATATATTGAGGAATGTTGGGTTGGAAGAAGAAATCTGAACTGCCAAATTGCAGGCAGCCGATAGTCAGCAGAAGTAGCCTGCAATACTGCACTCTAACCACTGTGCCACCATGACTCAGAAGAAAAAGAAATAGGATAGAAAAGGTATTGATGCATTTGAATTTTGATGTTGGAGAAGACTTCTGAGAATAATACCATGGATAGCCAAAACTATAAAGACATAAATCAAAGAACAAATCAGAGTTCTCACTCAAGACACAAATGACCAGGTTCAAAATACAATATTTTAGACACATTATGCAACAGACCCAACTCTGTTGAATAGTCTATATTATTCAGACAGGTGAAAGAAAAGAAAAGGATGACCAGCAGCAAAATGGGTAGCTCAATCCACCATTGAGAGGCCTGAGGGGCACGTTTAGGGATGGATAATCCTGGAGAAACTCTTATCTAATGTTGGTCAACACCAACTTGATGGCTCATAAGCAAGCAAACAAACAAAACAAGGAGAAACTTCATTAAAGATGAAGAGTTCTATCTTCTGCTTTTCCCTTCTTTTCCCTCCATCTCTACCAAAATTTGAAGAGTACACTTCTTTTTTTTAACAATCAATCCCAAGCCATATTTGGAGAGCTCTGCAGTGTTAAATATTTTCTTACTCCATGTAGTGTTATAAGAGAAGTTTCAACTGTGGTTTGCCATTGCCTTCTACCTAGTATGACTCACTCCAGATCACCCGGTTGGCTTCCAAGCCAAAAGGAAGGCTTAGAACTCTGATCTCCCTGATCTCTGTTCAGGGCCTTAACTGTTTGACCAAACTGACTCCTCACAATATTTAACTTTAAAAAAAAAAATTAGGAACTTTCCATTGTCGTCCGCTTTCAACCCATAATATTCTCGTATTCATTGTTTTCCAAACTTTGGTAGAAATTGTTGGTTATATTTAGGCATGGTGGTTCCATAAAAAACTTTCATCAAGTGCTATATTTGTTTCATTTGAAAGGGTGTAAGTCCAAATATAACTGGCAAGAAATGACTTCCAACTCTTCCCTGCAAGGAGAGCTGCAGATGATTTAGGGATCATCTGACACTCACAAGAGAAGTACAACGGGGATCTTTTCCCTCCAAAAACTTTAGTTGCTTCATTTTTCCACCATGCCATGATTTATGCATGTATTTATTTTTGCTACTATGATCTTCAAGCCAATGAAATTTAATTCTTTCCAGCATTAGCTGCAAAGCTGGGTCACTTTGACCCACAATGAAGCCCTCTATCTGTCATGAAAGGATTTGGAATGTCAAAACTTGGCATTTTCCCAGCTGCCACTAAGTCTTCAAATGATTGCAAGATGTCAAAGAGCCCACAGCACTCCCCTGTCTGCCATCCCACCCAGGATTTTTGTAAGAATTGTATGACCTCTTTTTTTAAAAAAAAAATAAATTCCTGAGCATTAAACAGGACACCTTCTGATCTATGCAGTGATTGTATCTTTCTGATTAATGAGGCACAGCTGAACTTAACAGTAGCTGGCTGACTGCCTAGCACTGAATAAATAATTCTATTAATATTTATTTGTACCGCCATACAAATAATCCGCAGGGATATCTGCAGGCGAGAGCGAGCACCGTTAAAAACAGGATTCCTGTCTTAGTTTTTTATAGTGTGAAACTCATATTTTGTCTAGCTCTGCTGACAACTCTGTCTTTGACTTCCAGCAGCTATGCCAACAGTTGAACAGGGGTAAGAAGGGAGCTGGGCTGTGTTCTCTGGCCGGTGGCCAGCCCTGTGCAGTTTTCTCAAGAGTCTTTTCAAAATGTAAAGATCAAAGTCAGTATTGCTTTTGTAAATCACCGGGGAAATTCTGTGGTACATAGACAATCTAATGAACAAAATCCCAGAGTTCTAGACCAATACAAAATTGTTAGGCTGCAATTAGAGCCTAACAATTCCAAGCAGTCTAATAGCACATTTATCATTCCGCAGAGCCTTTGTTCCACTGCCAGAAGGAGCAACATGCAAAGGAACAATATATTGAGTTCCTCTAGCACACAAGTGCAGTTTCAGAGTTTCGGGTGTGTAGGTGGGGTGGAGAGAGATGGTTGCTTGGAGCAACTTAACAAGCCTGTGATCTTGTCTCCAAGCCTCACTTTGGCATAACTAAGAAAAGAGAAAATATTGGCATGGAATCCACCCTCTAAATCATTTCAGACCACCGTATGCTCCAGATTCTTCTTCTTCTTCTTATAACAGTGTTATAAAATGCCATCAGTCTTCTTTAATGCTCCTTTATTCACAATTTCTTGAAAGGTAGCTGGGCTTGTCTATTGCAATGACACAGAAAGAATCTTGTGGCACTTTTTACAGAAACGCATTGAACATGATAAGTTGGGTTCTAGTCAAGGGTGAAATGCTACTGACGACCACAGCTGTGCCGCACGATCGTGGAACCTCTTTTTTTTTTTTTTTTTTTCCTTTTTAAAGCATTTTTTTACTACCAATTCAGCTAAACCCATAGTTTTTATCACTACCGGTTCGCCCAAACCGGAGCGAAACGGTAGTGATAAAAACTACCAGTTCAGGTGAACCGGTAGTAAAAAAAATGCTTTAAAAAAGTAAAAAAAAAAAAAGGTTCTGACAATCGTGTGGCACAGCTGATTGTCAATCAGATTGTCAATCAGCTGTGCTGCACGATGGTTGGAACCTTTTTTTTACTTTTTTAAAGCATTTTTTTACTACCAGTTCCGTGAA